ATCTATCTGTCTGTCTGTCTGTCTGTCTGTCTGTCTATCTATCTATCTATCTATCTATCTATCTATCTATCTATCTATCTATCATCTACAACTTTAAAACAATTCAACATCTGTAAACATTACAAGCTTTACAAAGCTTTTCATTGCAGTACTACTGTCCTTTATACATTGTTACAGTGGGTGTTCTGTCTGTCTGCACTTGTCATATTTAGGTCTTGTTGTGCAGACATTTATTTTGAAATGTATCTCTGTATTAATATTACCCACAGGTGAAGTTCTGTTAATGTAGCTTCTCCATCTTGCTACATTAAACCCTGCTTCATTTTCAATAAGACCATATTAGATTAAACAGTGATGAAAAGTAAAAGTATTGCACTGTAAAACTCCCCTCGTCTTTTGTGTGTGGAAATACATTTCAAGAATGTCCTCTGTGTTGTCTGCTGGTGGAACATCTGCATCTTTCATCTTCTACAGTCTTTCCTCTGTGTATAAAAGCTCTTTGTGATCCCGGCCAGGACCAGCTGTCGGTGGTGTGACTCCCAGCAGCACTATAACAAGTAAGTGGTGGGAGAAGTCTGATGCTCAAGGACTTTGCTCATTCATGCATGGTTATAGGAGGTTCAAAACAGCACTATCCCACAGTGGCCTCAGGTGTGTGTGTGTGTGTGTGTGTGTGTGTGTGTGTGTTTAAAGGATATGGCTGATAATACTATCTATTATTATTAGTGCCAACAATACCCATGAAAAGACCAAAACCAACTATTTGTTAATCCGTCTCACAAAACTTAATTTCCCACTGAAAATTTTAATCTTTAAAAATAGGTAACTCACTGATATATGCTTTCATTTAAAAAATAAAAAAAATATATATGCACCTGTGGGGAACTATTTTCAGCTAAAAAAGTATAGTAAAATAACATAAATAAACATGTAGATAGATATGAAAGTAAAGGAAGGGACGGAAGGGAGCAAAAAAAGTTGAAAATGTATTTATTCTAAATCTAATGGAAATGCACATGCAAATTCATTCTCTGTTACATTTGAGTTAATTATTATTATTATTTTGATAACCACCTTCATATAGTTTCATATGTATACACTCACACATATGTACACATCTTACCAGTCAAAAAAACAAAACACAACTTAGTTAGACTACTTATTATCTGTAGTTAATGTCCCATTCCACTCAAATAATGTGTTTTGCTTATTGTTTTTGCTTCATTGTGCAGAATAATGTATGTGCATATGGAATGCCATTTAAGTCAATATTAGATAATAAATAAGAAACATAAATAAATATGCCTATGAAATTATTTTTCTTCTAACGGCAGCTACTGTATACGTAGTTAGCAACAGGTAGTTGCAAACTGTCAATCAGCAAATTCCATAAATCTAAACATATTTATTAAACTATAGTGAATCATTTATTTGTTTCAGGATTTATTTAATAGTCACATTTATCTGTTTATTTAGGTATTTAATAAATGAGTTAAATTCCATATGTGACACTATGTGTTTTTGGACAACTGTTGTCTATGGTATGGAGGGCTAAGCTATATCAACTACAGAAGTACACAGACAATACTTATTAGCAGATTCATTTACTTTTGGTTTTGATTTTTCTAAGATTTGTTTGCCAATAAGATACATATGGAAATTCACCAGAGTTATCCTTCTGTATTTGCATGTTGTAACAATCATTATTTCACCAAAAAAACACTGCCCAGGTACATTTGTTTGTTATTTCTGAAAGTGCTCCAGCTGTGAGAAGTTGAGACCTGGCAAAAAACACCTGAGATTACTGAGATCTTCACAGTGTTGTTGAGACCTGTAGAGCAATTAAAAGTAATAAAAGATCATGTCACGTAATTCGGTTTTAATTTCTCCCTGAAATTTAATGAAGTTGAAAGTATCTTAAAGTGCAAGTATCTCAGAATTGTACTTAAGTACACTGTGAGCTGAGATGAAAATATCAGGAATATACTTACTCTCATATGTAGCACACTAAAATATTAATGCATGCACTAACAAAGGTAGTTTTACTGACATGATCTTCAGTTCAGTGAGAGCATCGGTCTTGTATCAGCTTGTACCAAGAATTCCTGTGGCACTGTTGATAAATTATGGTTTGATATCCGCTGCAGGAGATTAACTGTGTATTTTTGGCTACATGGGAAATTTTTGATTGAGAGGGCACCTGATGACTTGAAGTTACCATTCCTTGCATACCCTCACTGGTTCACACAACTGCCAATGCTGCCAAGCTTACTTGTTCTGGGCTTTCAGATATTAACATCACCTGCAGTACCCACTATTGCTTTGTGTTACATTTATTCCCTCCAGATCCTGTCCTTGAATGCCAACTGAAGGGTAATAATATTGTTATTAACTTTATCAGTGGACATTTTTGCTTTTCATGTCAGGCCAAAAAAAAAGTGGCGGAATGTAACTAAGTACATTTACTCTGTAGAGTATAGAACTTCAAAGTAGTTTACTGTAGTACTTCCATTTTATGCAGATTCATACTAATACTCACTGCATCTCTGAGGCAAATATTGTTCTTTTTACTCTCATGTCCAGTGAAAACAACATATCTCTTAATTTGGTCATATTACATTTTTTATCATAAATTTAAGGATTAAGTGTTCCTTAATGATAATATATTTATTATTCTTAAACTTAATAAATGAACCCCTCCCTTGGATTAACTGGAAAATGCATTGTTTCATAGGACAGTGACGCTACAAAGATGTGATGATCTTATACAATATGATGCATTGCTGTAGATTAAACTACACTACAGTATATAAAGTTGTTAAAATTGGCTCTAACTTTACATCTACAGCAGTAACATGCAACACACACATTAATGCGGCAGTAATATTAATCCAAAAATATTATATAACACTGACAGAGTACTTTTATTTTTGATACTGTAAAGGTCCCGTGTGTAACATTTAGGAGAATCTATCGACAGAAATGGAATATAATATTCATAGGTATGTTATCATTAGTGTATAATCACCTGACTAAAGGAATACTTATGTTTTTGTTACCTTATAATGAGATTTTTATATCTACAGACACTGCACGTCACCTTCCATGGTGTCAGCCATGTTAATCCACCATGTTTCTGCAGTAGCTCAGAA